AAATATTAAAATAAACAGATAAACATCAATTTTGTGTGTCACATGATACATTGAATGCAGAACTGGTTCTAATTAGACGTTTTAAGTCAAAATACTAAGTCTATAGTTTTGTATGAATTAGACACTCAATTACTGATATTGACAAGCTAAAATATAAAATAAGAGCTTATTATCTTTTCAATTTGCTAATATACTGCTCATGTAATAAACCAAACACAGTAGCACCCCGCCCACCACTTTCCATTTTTGGAAATGCTCCCTCGTATACACTTACTTCTATATAATGACATGAATAACAATCGGAAGCTCAGAATGTCCCCTAGTAGCTTTCTCAATCATTTCTTTTTTTTAACCAATATTTCAACGAGGTAGGGTGTGTCTTTAGTCTGTTCAAAATTTCATATTTTTTTAGACTAAAATACATCTTAGTTACTAAGCTTGATAAATTATAGTGGAATTTTATGGTATTAATGTAGTAATTTATGATTTTTTAGTTATTAAAATGCATGTATAAAACCAGAAAAAAAATATTTTGTTTCATATCCTCCACGTGCAAATTTTTTAAAGGTGTAGCAACCTATGTCAAGATGAAATAACTGTTTGCTTTACTTCTTTAGTTTCTATGTTTTAATAAAAAATAAGTTACAAACTTATTTCAAAATAGCAATAATGTATATACATATATAATGTATAATAATTTAAATGTGACTGTATTTTACAAAATACTAACTAGTCTACTAACATACAGCCAAGACAAGATACTTTGTACAGACCAAAGGTCAGTTTTATGTTATTTGATATGGTAACATGAGTGCACGTGAGCCCCATCATTGTAACTTCTGTATTGTTAGCTAATATAATATTATGAGATTTATGCTAATTAGTCTAAACATTTATGTTTCATGTTACAATTTGTGTTAATTCTAGAAAGAAAGAGGCATAATTTATATTTATTTCCAAATTTTTTATAGTGGTTGCGATATCGGTCATATCTACCGAACCCCTACAGAGATTAATTACTGAAAATAACAGATAAAATATGTAGTTTTTCTTAAGAAACGTTTGATAACTATCTGAACATTATAAAGATTTAGCATGTGAAATTTCAAAATTTTCTGATGCATAAAGTATTTTTAATCTTAAAATGAATATTACTTTGCATGTTAGATAGGTAATGTGAAAATAATAAAAAAAGACATGAGAAAATCATTGCTTTACAAACCTTAAGACTTAACAAAAAAAAATTAAATATTTTGTGTATGAAAACATTGTAATGTTTACTGATAATCTGCCAAATTTTGTCAATGATCGCTTACTAATTTAAAAGTTAATAGCATGAAAACTATAACAAGCATAAAACGGTTACTAGGTCAGTCCTAGTGACCAAGCCTGTGTTGAAAGAGTTAAGATCAATAATGTTCAAAGCATTTACAGAATTTATTTACTTCACTGGTAAAGAACCTGGCACAAACTAAACAAAACAAACTACAACATGACTGCATTGTCACCACCTAAGTTCAAAATAAAACTTCAAAATAAAAACTGTCATCCCAATCTTTAAGTGAAATAAAGTGATTTCAGGAAAAACTGCAATCTAATTTATGCCTTGGAAAATTTAAATATATTACCCTTTGTTACGACAGCGAAAGTCACGTGACGAGAGTAACACGTCATGAACTTCTAGAATGTTCACGTCCCTTCCTGAAGTCTCGGGTGTTTACTAGATTTCGGTCAAGACGTGACGGCAACAATATGTAATTGAACTGCGGACAGAGAGAGACGTATTGTTGAGTCGAGCACGTGAGACGTTTGTCGTGAATTATAGCGTTTGT